TCTACAAGTACGTATTCTTCCAGACGGTGTACTATATGTTTTTATAGGGCTAAAAGCCATGTAAAAATGGCGAATTAGTTCTACCAAAATTCGACATTTTACCGCTAAATAATAACTTTCACCTTCCATGTTGATGTTCTAACGCACGTGGTCGGCAGTAATTAGTGACCCGGATGAAATGAAACTTGTGTAAACACTCTAACTCTTCTTTCAGCAGTGAATTCAATTTTCACTTTTATGTAACCAGGATAGAAGAATTAAGTTGAAAAAGAAAATATTACGATAGTAAGTCATATTGACAAAAATGACGAAAATACGTAGTTAGTAAATATGACGATTATCCATCATTTTTCAGAAATGTCGGATTTCAGTCTCACCCCTGACTGTTGAAAGGAAAAACAGACATAACATGCATAAAAAGGGGGAGTAAATCAGAAAGTATATATTAATATATATTTACATAAGTCCTGAGCAAAATTATTTGTTTATAATTATATACATAATCTATGTGCATACATACATATATACATCACCCACATATGTAAGTACATATATAATTCACTATGATACAGTTCAAATGCCTTAAATTTAACTTATGGCAATGCCTTTAGTAAGAATCAATATAATGCCCTTGGACAGTATGAAAGCGGTGAAGATAACAAACAGTGATACGACATAATGTTTGGAAAATCAATTTTTCTATGGAGGAATACCAAGTTGTTCTTTGGGCAATATGAAGTTCCTTACTATATATGACTGCATCTTTTAATAAAAGGAAATCTGATGTTAAATTTTCTTATCTGTAGCACATTATTAATTAAGTTATCTGTTGACAATATTATAATGCAGGGCTCAAAATAATTGATGGCCCGCTGGTCTGGGGGCAGTGAATTTTTAATCTGGGCTAGTACATTGTAGAGGGTATGTGCCCTTTGGGTCAGTGTATTTTTTCCATTCACGGTGGGGCTAGTGAATTTGATAGGGTTGTGGGTCCAAGTTCTGCCATTTCTTGTTTTGTTAAGTTGTACTATTAAGTAACACAATATAAACAAAATATTCTTTTATTCTTATGGCTTAGGGCCAGTCCTTTTAAAATCTACTGGCCCAAAGGGACAGTGAAAGTATTCAGATGATCAGTAAATATTTAAGGGGATAGCCCGAATGACCAGTGAAAAAAAATAATTATTTCTAGCACTGTAATGTATTATGTACAGGATATCTACCCAGTTCTGAAAGAGAAGCATGTACATGTACATTATCCACGCTTTTGGTGGCTGTGTTTTAAGCAAATCAAAATGCAATTGTTACAGTAATGGTTTGGGCCTTGGATATCAGCCTGGGTAGCTCAGTCGGTAGAGCACCTCTGACTAGTGATACAGGGGTCCTGGGTTCGATTCCCGGTCCAGCCATACATTTTCTCCTTTCCTGTTACAGATTACAAATTTGGTGCCGTTGAGCACCCCTGGACTTGCAGGTCAAAGTCCTGCCAGGGGCAAATAAGAACTTGGGTTGTGTCTTCGAGGGTGAACAAAATTTATGGATGGAGGAATGTAATATGGTTTGGGCCGTGGATATCAGCCTGGGTAGCTTAGTTGGTAGAGCACCTGACTTGTGATGCTGGGGTCCCGGGTTCGATTCCCGAGCCATATATTTTCTCCTTTCCTGTTACAGATTTGGTGCCGTTGACCACCCCTGGTCTTGCAGGTGAAAGTCCTGCCAGGGGCATGTAAGAACTTGGGTTGTGTCTTCGAGGGCGAATACAATTTAAGGAGAGAGGAATGTAATGGTTTGGGCCATGGATACCAGTCGGTAGAGCGGGACTAGTAATGCAGGGGTCCCGGGTTCGATTCTCGGTCCAATCATACATTTTTTTCTTTCTTGTTACACAATATTAGAAAAATATTTCTTTTTCTATATCATAAGAACGTGATTCATCAACAGGCATAGAAATACACAATAAAAAACGAAGTTTTGATTGCTTACCAGAGTCTGGCACCATGGTACACCAATACAGATGGCAGGTTTCAGTTTCAGAGCAGCGAGCTATTTTTAGATTTTGGGAAACTGTTCTATTTATAATGATTACAAACAAATAAGTAAATGTGAGCACAATTTGCACCCCCCTCTAAATACCCCCCGAAATATCGCACTATTTTGGATACTCGTCTTGAGTTAGATCTGCAGCATCATCACTTTTCAAAGGTTCTCAGGAATATTTTAAATCGGGTTTGTGATACCAAAAATAACAATCCAAAAATAAACCGCGAAAGTTGAATCAAGCATAAATTTTATGATAGATATCTAGTTACCAGTATGCAGAGAATTTTACGAATGAAGAAAGAACTTGAGATGTTTTCTCAGTCCCCACCACATGGTGTGTCTTGTTGGTCAAACGATGAGGATATCACACAACTATCAGCACGTAAGAGAACAATAGTAATTAATACGTTTTACGGTGTGACCTTTGGGACGAGCACAGTTGTACCATTAAAAACCTATATACACAGCTTACACTTGTAACGTTGAACTTCAAACTGCACGAGACACAGTCTAGATTATTACCTAACCTACTATATAAATTGTAATTAGGCATTTTGAACTGTTTCCTGATTCTTTTTAATGTTTTTGCAAATCATGAAACAGTCAAAACTGTTTACCCGGTCACAGAATGAACTGTTGCATGGCTGAACTGTTTCATTATGACGTCATAGTTAATTTCCCGTACTTTACAGCTATAATATTGAATTATATATAAATTGAAGCATTTTTATTCAATTTGAAATTATCATCTGAAAAGTAAACCTGATACCAATTTAAATATATATTCAATTTAATATCATTTCAAAGAAGAGGCCATGAACACCTTTTCTGAGGGTAGTTTGGGAAAAATGTAGGCCCCTTTCATTCAGTATAGATCTTTGCCATAAACGTGCAATATTCAAATCTTTAAGACATCATTATGTTGTTTACTACATGCTTTTTTTCCCCAATTTATTAGTGCATGATAATATCACACCCATTAATTTTTCACCAATCAGTGTGAATATTTGATTAATATTCATCTTGTTTAGTTTGGTTTTAAAAAATAATACAAACTTTTGTCAATGTATTTTAAAAGCCATTGATTATTATGTCGATATCATTACTTTAAGAAATTATATAGTAGGTTAGGTAATAAAACACTTATTTCATGACAACTCGGGAAACAGTCAAACTGTTGTCCCTCGATAATGGGGAAGACCTGGGAAACTGTTGCCCTCGGCCTTCGGCCTCGGGCAACAGTTTCCCAGGTCTTCCCCATTACCTCGGGACAACAGTTTGACTGTTCCCCTCGTAGTCATGAAATAAGTGTATACTGTGACATCACATGACGTCGGAATTTACAGAGACAGTCGAACGTCTGGTTGAACGAGACTACAGTTGCGCTCGCTATTATTTATTACAGGGATAGACATTAACTTTTAGATTCACATGCCCGAAGGGCAAGAAATCTCAAACTTTGACTTGCCCGACTGCAAAACTTGGTTGCCCAAATTTAAGAAGGAAGAAAATAACTTAAATCATTGCTGGAAATGTCTACAGGTCCAGCACAATCTCTTGATAAAGCTATATAGCTTGAAATAGCTATATAGCTTTATTAAGCTATTCAAAATAGCTTGATAAAGCTATTTATATGCAGATTTTCACAAAAATGTTATTTGTACAAAATACACAAAAAGTCGCAAGTATTTGACTATTCATATATGTAATATGGATTATCAAATCAACAACCCAAATCAAAGATAGTTCTAACATTGCAGCATTTGAATACTTTTAAGAAAAAGATGAATTTCCATTGTTTGGGTAACTGTACACTACCTTGTGTGCGTTGAGGCATAGATAAGTATGATTGCCTCACATTGTACTGAATTATTACCAATCAATTATCTTGTTGACCATAATTGGCCTCCTTTATAATTTCATTGAAGAAGTAACTGTATCAATTGCTTTATATAGCCCCAAAACTTTTAGAACTTTGAGTACGAAGGCTCTTAAGGAGACGCAATTTGATGAGTGATTTTTACATGCATTATTTTCATAAGAGTTCAAGGTTGAATATCATCACTGCACCAAAGTGCGACTTTTTATGCATACTTGGAAAATAACATATTTGAGAAAAAAGTGTGATAAAATAGCTAAATCAAGCTATTCTGAATAGCTTAATAAAGCTATATAGCTAAATCAAGCTATATAGCTTAATCAAGAGATTGTGCCGGACCTGCTATATGATAAGAAAACAGTATGACCAGATACACTGTCTATTTTGCAGGTTGAGCTTCATGAAAAAACAATTCAATGCTATGTTTGTACATGAAATTCAATATTTACCACTGTCCTTGTCAATTTAACCTGGAAACACACACTGCCATCCAGCAAAAAGCCAACCCCCTCTTGTTTTCTTTACTAATAAAATTCATACTTCTAAAAATTATTTTTGGGAAGATCCTTTTCTGAATTTTTATTTTCGAGATAACTAAAGGTAGACACTTGCTACGAAACGTACATGTCTTGATCAGGATACCTTGTGTTACTTATATTCTTTGAGTGAATAAATAATCTTAATATTTCCTAATAAGTAGGCAACAAAGTTGTTAGACATAGAGCGTAATTACTATGAAAGAAAACAATAACGAACCCGACTTTTAAATGAAATTATAATATAGAGTGCTACCGAGGGATTCTGAATGCAAAAACAATGTCAGGCACGTATCGGTGGAAATCAATTTTTAATTAATTGTTTTATTATAAACTAATGTGATCTACATAAATTTCAGTCAGAAAAATTCACTTGCCTGATCAGACGAGTATGTTGACAGTTTCAATTGCCCGAACTGAGATTTTACTTGCCCCGGGCAATCGGACAACAGTTAATGTCAATCCCTGTATTATAGCTAACACTTCGTTTTGATTGCATCCCATCACGTCATGAGTAGTAGATTTATCAGTAAGTCCTAATCTCTTGTTGACTGGTTTCTAACAGAGTTAGGAAGGACTATTGTATTCCATGTTAAGTCATCAAAACAGCAACGAGCAGTTAGCATGGTTAGAACTATGCTAGCCCATACAATGAAGTTTATAATATGGCAGATCACAGGGATTTTTTTAGGGTCTCTCCGGGGCCGAAATTCGGCCCCATTCCCAATGCTGAAAAGTGCATGTTTTTCCCAAAATCATACCTAAAAATTCCCAATATGAAAAAAAGTATTAAGTTGTAAATTATTAAAATAAAATAATGACAAAAAGGTGTTTATGTTCTCTATGTGCGATGTACGAGCCATCCGAGGACTTCCGAGAAGTTATTCGGAATACTATGGATGTTTGCATGCATACTTTTTAAAGCGGGATCGATGTTTAAATAATAAAGTCGGGATGGTTATCTAACAAGAATACATATGGGTTACCCCATATCCAAGATATTCGACTTTTAATTTATTCGAATTTTCATTGTGTTCAGATGATTTCTAATAAAAAAACAAGTATTTACTGACAAAACGTCAGAGATACTCAAGCTGTAGAAAGTCAACTATAAAAGTGCCATATACATAAATATCCTAAAATGACATAATATTTAGGCTACTGAGTTTCAACATCTTTTGTTGAATAAAATATGCATATAGTAGGAAACAAACTGCATGTACATATATAACGTTACATGCATGTAGTAACTTTATCACAAAGTTGCACATGCATAAAAATAGTTTTAATTTCACATTGAACATAAACTAAATATAATTAATCGTATAATTTTAAAAATGTATTTAACGCCTCACTCATTTTCAGGAATATTTAATCCAAATAGCATGTTACAGGCCTATAGCAACGTTTTCAAAGTGAAAGGGGGGGGGGACTCCCAAAAAATCCCGCTTACTATGGGCCTGTGCTACATGTGTACCATCTAACTTTCCAATGATAGAATCTTCTGTAAAAAAAATTCAAAACAAGTCCAAGCCGTTAGGGATTATCAAAGATAGCCCATTTTCACAAATAGCAAAACTTTAGATCTATCAAGGATAGATTTTAATTTATTTTTTAATTTTGTGCTATTATTAAAAAGTACTATCACTCAAAGTATAGGCAGATGTTAAAGATGGTCCAACCTGTCACCTTTTAGAGTAATCAATGAACTCGTCCAGTGATGCATTGACGGCCGTTGTTAAACGCAAAGGAAAGCGCGAGATCGGTTGCGGCTATGGAGCATCACTGAATATTCCTCCACCATATACTGATTTTGATTATACAGACGTTTTGAAGATAAACTTCATTTTTGTTTCTAGAAATGTTTTTTATTTACAAAAATAGTACATTTTCGTGTTAGATCGATGACCGTAACTCAGCCCCTCTTGCCCAGTCTAGGGCTTCACCTTGACTTGAGTAAAAAACCTGCACTTGTTATGAAACTGGTGTATTAAGTTCTAAACTTCTTTATGTCCGTAGCAAGTACTGATACCCAGTCTACTGATCTAAGCGTCACTAGGGAACGGTGCGCACACCTGTTCTTGCAAGACCAAATAGCCTAGGTCTACACACGTGCGAAGATCTTTCCGAGCTCGGAAAATCACGTTGTGTTTAGCCATAATAACCATTCCGTTATTTAAAAAAAGAGAGAAAAAACACACACACAGTTAATGATTAACATTCTAACTCAAAAGAAAATATACGGCAATTAACGAACAATAATCATGACAGTAATATAACTGGTGAAAAGATTTATCATTATCAATCGAAGTGTGACCTATATATTTTCGTGAAAAAGACTGAGGAGGCAGCGAGCGTAGGAATATGAAAACTTTTTATTTGCTTTTCTGGGGAAAAAGTGATTTTCTTAAAATCTTTTAACGATAATTTTGTTTTCTTTAACGTATTAAATATACATGATTATTCTTAATATTTGTTGTAATGTTTTATCTACTGATCATGAATGGAACTATTTTCTTCGGAGCAATTGTGTGAAGAGTACCTGACTTTAGTAATATATCTTGAATAGATAATATGCACTGATCGAATATATTAAAAAATAAACGTGCATCATGTCAGTCTCTCCAGTTTGCCTAGGACGGTAATTTTCAGGCTGGGTTGAATCGCTCTTATTCTTATAAATTGGTCAAACAATACCAATTAACCACTCATCTGGAACAAACCCACTATCAAATGTTATTTTAAAGAACTTCTTACATAAAGGTAAAAAAGATGACAACGTATAAATATGTTCATTTACAATGTTATCATACCCTGCGGCTTTGCCATTTTTAAGCTTCTGAACTTCAACAGCCGCTATTATTTCATATCACTAAAGCTGGTTTAAGCCAGCTTCATACTATAAAAAATAAGAAAAATTATTAAATATTTGACTTTTGCTTGTTTTTTTTTTATTTATTTGTATGA